GAAATAATTAAATAATTTGCCATATAAAATTTAAAGTGGGAAAGAATACAGTCTTGCAACAAACCTTTATAAATCAGAATTGTATTGGGTGAGGATTCTAAAAAAATGCATCTAATTTTCAGCGATAAATCACTCTTCATTGTGTGAATAAGTAATATTATGTCAATCAATTGCTTTCTGTCATAGTTTTACTCAGAGATAAGAGTCCAATGCTGATTTTAAAACCATAAAAGCTGTGTATAAGGATACTATTGTTCTTTTAGAAGGCATCTGGATCAAGTGAGTACAAGGCATTGGTCAAAAATTGATTGGTCTAGTCTGAAACTAGCCTGCTCTTACTTTAAAATACTTTTTATTCTACCTAGTCACCACACACACACACACACACACACACACACACACACACACACACACACTGCAAAATCCTTTCCCCAGGATTCTGACGAGTTGCAATTGTCCAGATAGGTTGGGTCACTGTTAGAATAGTCCCAAGTCATATGGTAAAGTAGAGTTCATTTTTTCCTGTGTGAACAAGACATGTCCAGCTGTCTTTCATAGCTTTATATTGTATGGTAGTTTTAAAAATATTTTTAAAAATATTTTTCCTTTGAAAGGTCCTATGAAGACATGCCTCTTTTGTTCATTTTAAATACATTATTATTGGCAATAACATTTGTGTTGATTCTTTAATACATTTGAGATCAATCCAAACTTTAAAGAAACAGTGACAGAGAGAGAGAGAGAGAGAGAGAGAGAGAAAGGGAGGGGGAGAGAGAGAGCGCACGCGCACGCGCGCGCACACACACACACACACACATATAATTTTTTACTTTATTTAATTAAAGATAATAGAAAGGAGATGGAAAAACAAGCAACTGAAAGCGACCTCTCAGGTCGCTCGCAGTTTGTATGGGCTGGGGGACAGAGGTCCACCCTGAGGCCCCTAACTTGTGGGGTGCCTCAGGGGTCGGTTCTCTCCCCCCTACTCTTTAAAGCCATTGGGTGAGATCATTTGTGGCTTTGGGGTGAGGTATCATCAATATGCTGATGATACTCAATTATATATCTCCACCCTGGGCCACCCTGGGGATGCCCTTTCCGTGATGTCCCAATGCCTGGAGGTGGTGCGGGCCTGGATGGGCAGGAACAGACTCAGACTCAACCCTTCCAAGACTGAGTGGCTGTGGATGCTGGCATCCCATGTTCTAGAGGTCCCATCACTTTTGATGGGGGGGGGGCCGTTGAAAGGGCCCGCAACTTGGGTGTCTTCCTCGATTCCTGGCTGTCCCTAGAAGACCATTTGATAGCTGTGACCAGGGGGGCTTTTGCATAGGTGCGCTTGGTGCACCAGTTGCGCCCTTTTCTAGACCGTGATGCCCTTTGCATGGTCACTCATGCCCTGGTTACCTCCTGCTTGGATTACTGCAACTCCCTCTACATGGGGCTGCCCTTGAGGTGCACCCAGAGGCTCCAGCTGGTCCAGAATGCGACCGTGCAGGTTGTTATGGGAGCTCCTCGTTACTCCCGTGGAACACCCCTCCTGCGCGAGCTGCACTGGCTACCGGTGTCCTCCGGATCCATTTCAAGGTGCTGGTATTGACCTATAAAGCCCTACATGGCTTAGGTCCGGGGTATTTGCAGGACCATCTCCTGCCTGCTTCCCACCGTCTTGTCCGCTCCCATAGGGTTGCTCTCCTCAGGGTCCCGTCGATCAGGCAATGCCATCTGGCGACACCCAGGGGTAGGATGTTCTCCGTGGGTGCCCCACCCTCTGGAACAAACTACCCACCGAGCTCCGGACAGCCCCGGATCTCCGCTCCTTCCGTCTTGGTTATTCCAACAAATGGGCTGATTCTGAGGCAGGGCAGAGCTGAGGATTTTGTACAGTTTCTGCAAGATAAAATCACTCGGATTCGGACTGGGTTGGACTCTGACTGGGCAGAGTTTGACGAGTCGATAGGGACCTGTCCTGATGGTAACTCTGGGTTGAATTTGAGCCTGTTTCAATGGATGAAGTGGACAGGATCATGGGTCGACTGGGTGCCTCCACATGTTTATTGGACCCTTGTCCCTCCTGGCTCGTTTCTGCAGCCAGAGAGGTGACTGGAAGCTGGATTCAAGCGGTTGTCAACGCTTCTTTGAGGGAAGGGGTCTTCCCCGCCATACTCAAAGAGGCGGTGGTTCATTCCCTCATCAAGAAGCCCGCCCTGGATCCAGACTCCCTTAATAACTATCGTCCAGTCTCCAACCTTCGCTTTATAATGAAGGTTGTTGGGTCTGTGGTGGCACAGCAGCTCCTGCAGTTCCTGGAGGAAACTGACTATCTAGACCCGTACCAATCGGGTTTCAGGCGTGGTTACATCACGGAAATGGCATTGGTCGCCCTAGTAAATGATCTGTGGTGGGCCAGGGATGGGGTTGCTCCTCCATCCTGGTCCTTTTTGACCTCTCAGCGGTTTTCGATACCATCGACCATGGTATCTTACTGTAATGACTTCGGGGATTGGGGGTGGGAGGCACCGTTTTACGGTGGTTCTCCTCCTACCTCTCGGGCTGCTCGCAGTTTGTGTGGACAGGGGGAGAGAGATCCACCCCGAGGCCCCTCACTCGTGGGGTGCTTCAGGGGTCGGTTCTCTCCCCTCTGCTCTTTAACATCTACATGAAGCCGCTGGGTGAGATCATTCGTGGTTTCGGGGTGAGGTACCATCAATATGCTGATGACACTCAGCTTTACATCTCCACCCCGGATCACCCTGGGGATGCCCTTTCTGTGATTTCCCCCTGCCTGGAAGTGGTGCGGGCCTGGATGGGAAGAAACAGACTCAGACTCAACCCATCCAAGATTGAGTGGCTGTGGATACCGGCATCTCTTGATCTAGTGGCCCCGTCACTAGTGATGGGAGGGGAGATCCTTGCTCCCTCAGAAAGGGTCCGCAATCTGGGGGTCCCCCTGGATTCATGGCTATCCCTAGAAGATCATTTGACAGCCGTGACCAGGGGGGCCTTCGCACAGGTATGCCTTGTGCGCCAGTTGTGCCCTTTCCTAGATCGGGATGCCCTTGCCATGGTCACTCATGCCCTTGTTACGTCTTGGTTGGACTAGTGTAATGCCTTCTACATGGGGCTGCCCTTGGGATGCACCCGGAGACTACAGTTAGTCCAGAATGCAGCTGCATGGGTTGTTACGGGGGCTTCTCGGTACTTTGTGTGACACCTCTCCTGTGCGAGCTGCACTGGCTGCCGGTGGCTCTCCGGGTTCGTTTCAAGATGCTGGTGCTCACCGGGCCTAAGCCCTACATGCCTTAGGCCCGGGGTATCTGCAGGATCATCTCCTGCCTTCCTCCCACCGTCCGGTGTGCTCACACAGAGCGGGCCTCCTCAGGGTGCCCTCAGCCAGACAATGTCAGCTGGCGGTCCCCAGGGGGAGAGCGTTCTCTGTGGGAGCGCTGACCCTCTGGAATGGGCTGTCCACCGGCCTCAGGACAGCCCCGGACCTCCTCTCCTTCCGCCGCGAATTGAAGACGTGGCTTTTTCACCAAATGGGCTGAATCCGTAGGAGCAACTTCAGATAATTTTAATAATTTTTAATTGATTTTAATTTAATTTTAAACTGATTTTAATTGTTTATGTAATTCTTTGTTTTGTTTTTGTAAGCCGCCCTGAATCCTATGGGAGAAGGGCGGCATATAAATTACATAAATAAATAAATAAAATAAATAAATTCTGATCCTTGGGTTTTTATTATTTATTATTTTAATCTGGTTTCAGTGGGTTTTTATTATTGTATGTTTTTAATCTGTGTTTGCTGCCCTGAGTCCTTTGGGAGAAGGGCGGCATATAAATTCTGTAAAATAAATGAAAAATAAAAAAATAAAATTTATATGGAGGCATCTTATTTATTATTTGAGTGTATTGACCACCCAAATCCAGTTGGCTCTGTATCTATATGCATCTAAAGTTCATAAACTGTCTCTGTGAATTATGTCTTCATCATGTCTTCAATTCCTGAATATTTGGAGCCATTAAACAGGGACAGTTTTAGACCTCTGCAAAAACTCGGATTCTAGTAATTCTTCATGGCAAAATAGAGCAGTAAAAAGTTATTAGAACTCCCTTGTACCCAGTTTCCTTTTTATGTCATTGTCAGCAATCTATAACATAACACTGCTCAATACAGGGAATTAGCATTCTGTTCTGGTATTTGGAATTATGTAGTTATTTCTGGAATTGGAAATGTCCATTTTAAGATTAAGAGGAGCTGAGGGGCAAAATTTTTGCAAGACACCTTTTATTTTGACTACTTTCCTTTCACTTTTCTTATCAATTAAATTTCCCCAGCATTGATCACTGTCACTGCGTTATTTTATTTACCAGCTGAGCTCATTATTTCTGGACTATCTGACTCTCCGTACCTTGCCAAGAATTGTTATCAAAAGCTACTACGCATGTCCATCCACCCACATTCCTTCTCACACCTCTTTCCTTTGTTCTCTTGCCACGGGTGCCGGTTGCTAAAAGGCAGCTGGCCCAAATTACTTCCAAAATGTAACAATTAACTTTTCTTAGTTAGTGAGGTGTTTTATTTTCTTTATAACAAATAAATGAGTTTTATTAGAAACCTTTCTCGCGTTTCTTTTTCGAAATATTGCAAACAAGGATAAGCCTCGATTCATCTCCTCTAAACCAGGGTAATTAGTCCCAGAGCCAAACATGGGATTAATAAATGCCCTGACATCTGATAGCACGAGGACGGTTTGATTTATGGCTTTTTTCCTTGTTTTGTTACTTCTGATAAGAGCGCATAGGCAATTAGTTTTTAGCTACTGAGGTACGCTAATTATATTGCTGAGATGCCGAAACAGAAGTAAAACAAATACAAAATGTATTTTGCTGAGAAGGTGGCAGAAAGGAGGTTTCCAGATTTCCAGCCCCTTACTACAGCCACATGCCTGGAACGAGAAGAAGCCGTGGGAACAGAAATGGACGGAGATAAGACAGAAGCTGTTTTTGAAGATGATGATTTACGACTGAGGTCAGTAACATTTTCTTCTGATCTTCCAAGCTCTGAAAAAGTCTTCCCAGAACCTTCTGAATTTGTAATGCTCGATGCAAGGCCAAAGCACACTGCTGAGCAAAATTCCTCCCACGCAGAGAGAGAAACAATTCATTATTCTCCTCGAAGCTCTAAGCTCACCCTGGATGAGCTGGCTATGAAAGCCTTTCGTGACCGTATAAAACTTTATGAACAGCAGCTATCCCAGGCAAAAATGGCTATATCTATGCTTGAGCAAGATAAGGGAGATAACTTAAATTTTTCAAAAAGCGCCATATTGTCTTCTTGCTCAGAGCCAAAGACACTCCCCCTGGTGGATCCTGTGTCAGGCCAATTAAGACAAAGAGCACTGCATACGTCACATGAAAGTCTCCCTGATCAAGTTACACATGTCTTACATAACCACTCCTACTCTAAAGCATACAATGCCCCGTATGCAAAGCTGCCCGAAGCTAAAGGTGCAGCACCATCTGCTGGCAAAAGTAATTTACTACAGGAAGCTGAAATGCCACAAGTGTTTCCACAGGCCCAAACTCAAACACCCTCTGGCGGTGTTGGTGTCTTTTTAGATGGAACACAGCAAAGGCAAATGACTGCATCTCCAGCAGGTCATGCCAATATTGCAGCTCAAGCACAAATGGCAACTGGATTACAGCAGATTCCAGTGCATCAGCCACAGCAGCTACAAATGCCTGCATATGTGCCCCAGCCACAAGTGCAAATAGGGCCACCTCCTGGCCCACCTCCAATGGCACAACCAAGACCATTTTTAGGTCCACAACAGGCACAGCAAATACCACAGGCATTCCTGCCAGCACAGCCAGCATACCAAGTGCAGGCTCCTTGCCAGGCAATTTCTGTCTCTCCACTAACTGGTGAGTCAAAACTAAAAATGTCAGGACACAATTACAAAGCCTGGGTCAGTGAGATTACACTATTGCTTCTTAGAGAAGGCACGCACTGTATGGTATTTAACCCACCTGCTCCACCTTGGACTTATGCAATAAGAGATTTAGAGATAAGGGCTCGCACAACATTATTGATGTCCATGGATACTGAACTGCAGGTCACTTTTCCACCAAATACAACAGCCCGACAAATTTGGGCTGAATTGGAAAATTGCTACAGGCCTATCTCAATTGAATCTTCATGTTTACTCATGTCTGAACTCCACGGTTCGAGATTGAAACCTGGTGAACAAATTGGAGGACATTTGACCAAACTGAAAGGTCTGAGAACAGAATTGAGAGAAAGAGGCCATAACATTGAAGAAATTCAAATGATCAGCATCATTATTAACTCTTTGAATTATGAATGGAAAGATGCTGTTACAAAAATTAATCAAGTCCCTATTGCTCAACGTACAGTGGACAATGTTTGTAGACTTTTAATTGAAGAAGAGGCATTCATGTTGGCCACGCCACACTTGAGAGGACCACCCGCATCAAGAGCTCCAGCTAGACGCCCCTTCCGAGGAAGGACCTACGCTCCAAGGATGCCAAGATGCAACACCTGCAATCGTGTGGGACATGCCACCCGGGATTGTCCCCAACGAGTTCCAGCTCCCGTCACGTACCAGCCCAGAGGAACAGATTCCAGAGGCAGAGGCAGAGGTGGTAGACAAGGTCGTCGTGGTCCCCGGCGTGATCCACAAACTCCACTCGCCACATTGGCTTTAACCAATGATCCACAACCTCAACCAGAGTACGACAGACGACTCCTGTGGACTTTGGACAGTGGTGCAGCATTGCATGTTACCTACAGAAAGGAACTTTTCACAGAGATGCACGAGCCTGAACCAGAACTACGTGAACTTTACTCTTTTTCAAATCATCCTTGTCAGGTCAAAGGAAAAGGAACTGTTTATGTTGAAGAGCTCGATGCATTCATTCCTGATGTTTATTACATACCAACAGCAACCAGTAATTTGCTTAGTCAGTGTCACTTGTCTAGAATGTTAAAGTTCCAAGTTCACCACCTTGAAAAAGCAAGTTACATAGTTAAAGATGGAGATATTGTTGCTGAAACCATATTAATTGGTGGTGTTTATTACTTAAAGCCAAAGCCTAAACCGCAAACACAGGCAAGTATACAAACTCCAAAAAGGGAACGCACAGGCCCAGAGAGAGATGCTCCAGAGAGAGATCCTGTTGCTATTCCAAAGGGTCCTAAAGCCAACAAAAATAGAATTGGTAAACAGGTTGCTCAGAGCAAGCCTGAGGTTCCGCATAAAAATGTTAATGTTGAGAATTCACTAACAGGTAAACCTTTGCATTCCAGGTGTATCCACAAATGGCATAGAAGATTGGGGCATGCCAGTTTCCGTGTTCTTAGGAAGATGCCGGAGTTCGCAAAAGGTTTGGATCTAAAGGGGTGTAAGGTGTTTTTGGATTGTGCTGTATGCAAGAAGGCCAAATCCAAAGCAGCAGCCATTCCCAAACACACTACACGCCTGTCAACACGCATTTTTGATTTGGTTCACATTGACATAGTTGGTCCTTTCCCGCCATCATTTGGTGGTAGAAAATATTTTCTAACAATAGTTGATAATTATTCTAGATATGGATATGTATATCCTATGAAAGAAAAATCAGAGACTTTTCAGATCTTTAAAGACTTTGCAGCCCTCGTTTCTACCCAACACCAAGTTCGCATCGCCAGAATCCAGAGTGATCGTGGTGCCGAGTTCATGTCTCAGCGTTTCCAGGACTGGATGCGTAAGAATGGAATTATTCATCAGACTTCGGCTCCTTACACACCGGCTCATAATGGAGTCGTAGAATGAAGACAAGGGGTACTGCAAACCATGATGCGTTGTCTCCTAAAAGACGCCAACCTTGATATGATATACTGGGGTGAAGCTATCAAGTATGCAAATTACATTGTTAACCGTACTTGGAGCAGTGTAACAAATCAGACTCCTTTCTTCATGTTGTATGGCTACAAGCCTGATCTTAAAAACATCCATATTTTTGGTTCATATGCTATGGTGAACATTCCCTTAGCTCAAAGAAGAAAAGGAAGTCCAGCAGCAAAGAGACTGAGATTTATGGGTATTGATGATAACTCAAAATGGAGCAAATTTATTGACTCTAAACATGCAATTGTGATTTCCCAATCTGCTAATTTTGAAGAAGATATTGACTGGTCCAGGATTCATTCCAATGATCCTGGAGTTTATTTTCCTAGAGATGATACTACTGATGCCACACAGATTGATGATCAAGATTCCACTGGTTCTTCTCAACCCAATGTTCCGTCTTCGTAAGCCGCGGATGCTGATGCTAGCGACGAAAGTGAGGACGAGGACGAAGCAGAAGAAGACTGGACAGTTGTTCCGAGACGTTCCAAGAGGGCCACAAAAGGGATCCCTCCACAACGATATTCTTGGCAACTGACAAAAGCACCCTTGCCTTTGATTTGCAATGTCACACTTCCACCTGATAATTTCATGCAAATCAAGCAGCTCCCTGATTCAGAGCAAGACAAATGGTATGAGGCAATGCAGGCTGAAATGGACAGTCTAAAGAAACTTAAAGTATTTACACTTGCAAAACCTCCAGCAAACAAAAAGATCATTGGCACCCGATGGGTCTACAGAATCAAAAAGAAACCAAATGGTGAGTCACTGTACAAGGCCAGACTCGTAGCTCAGGGTTTCGCTCAACGTTATCCTGAGGACTACATAAATACTTACTCACCGACAGTCAGAACTGAGAGTGTAAAAATTGCTTTAGCAACTGCAACTATCCTTGGTTTAGAAGTTTTCCAGTTTGATGTTGACACGGCTTATCTACATGCAGTCCTAGACGAAGAGATCTACGTGAGAAGTCCTCCAAGATTCCGACAGCAAGAAGGGGATACCTGGTTCCTAAACAAAAGTCTTTATGGTCTGAAACAATCTGGTTTAATGTGGTATTTATGTCTTACTGACAAACTAAATTCAATGGGCTTTATTAAGTCCGAAACTGATGAGTGCGTGTTCACAAAAAGATCTAACAATGCATATGAGATAGTTCTTGTTTATGTTGATGATATTGTTTATATTGGTCCAAATAAGCAAATGAGTGAAATTTTTGCCAAAGCTTTGCAGAGATACATTGAAATCATTAGGTCATATTAGCACTTATTTAGGTGTTCAGATTGAAAAGACACAGAAGGGGTTTAGTCTTTCACAAGAAGATAAAATTGAACAAGTTTTGCATCATTGCAACATGAAGGATGCTAACACAACAAAGACACCCATGCAAACAGATTTTCACAACTTGACACAAGAAGAAAGTCCTGAGTTCGAGGATCAAACACTTTATTGTTCAGTCATTGGGTCACTATTGTACATTGGTAGTTGGACCAGACCCGACATTGCACTTAGTGTTAATCTCTTATCACGACACGTAGGTAAGGCAAAACAGTTTCACTGGACATGTATTAAGAAATTATTGAGATACCTAAAATACACTAAACATTTGAAGTTATTGTTAGAACCAACACATACTGATTATGCAGAATTATGTTGTTATGCAGATTCTGATTGGGCAAGTGATAAGAAATCACGTAAAAGTACTTCAGATTATATGATGTTCTTAAATGGATGTCCTGTTTATTGGCAAGTGCGTAAACAGAATTTTGTTTCTTGTTCATCTACTGAAGCTGAATATGCTTGTGTTTCAGATGCATGTAATTCTCTAACTTGGTTTGATGCTTTAGTCACAGATATCTGGACACACCCGATCCGACCGATCACCGTGATGGAAGACAATGAATCGGTGGTTTATATTTCTGAATCTCATTTCACAGGTTCTAGGTCCAGACACATTGACATCAGTTATCAAAACATAAAACATTTAGTGAAAAAAGGTTTTGTCAAAATGCAATATGTATCTACATATGATCAAATTGCTGATATGCTCAACAAACCACTTCCAGCAGCTCAACACGAGTATCTGCGTATGAAGATGTGCCTTATTTGATGTACTGATATTCGCTCAACTGGCAAAGAAGGGGAATGTCACTGCATTATTTTATTTACCAGCTGAGCTCATTATTTCTGGACTATCTGACTCTCCGTACCTTGCCAAGAATTGTTATCAAAAGCTACTACGCATATCCATCCACCCACATTCCTTCTCACACCTCTTTCCTTTGTTCTCTTGCCACGGGTGCCGGTTGCTAAAAGGCAGCTGGCCCAAATTACTTCCAAAATGTAACAATTAACTTTTCTTAGTTAGTGAGGTGTTTTATTTTCTTTATAACAAATAAATGAGTTTTATTAGAAACCTTTCTCGCGTTTCTTTTTCGAAATATTGCAAACAAGGATAAGCCTCGATTCATCTCCTCTAAACCAGGGTAATTAGTCCCAGAGCCAAACATGGGATTAATAAATGCCCTGACAATCACGGTGCTTGTTACATTTTTATTCTGGTTCTCCTTTAGTTTATCTTCCTTCAATTTATTCTCAGCTACTGCTCATTGTTAAACATATCACATATTTTTCAAGAAGGATTTTCAACTCCCCTATTTTGTCATTACCATCTATTAACTGATCAAATATCAAAATTATTGTTTGAGTTCTTATTTATCAAATTACAGGCAAAGAATATCGCCCATATCACTTTATCAATAATCGAAATAAATAAATCGGTATTAAGTAAGAGCCATGGTGGGACAGTGATTAGAATGCAATATTGCAGGCTAATTCTGCTGACTGCCAATTGTTGGCAGTTTGGCAGTTCAATTCTCACTAGCTCAAGGTTGACTCAGCCTTCCATCTTTCTGAGGTCAGTAAAATGAGGGCCCAGATTGTTGAGGGCAATATGCTGACTGTAAACTGCTTAGAGAGGGCTATAAAGCACTATGAAGCAGTATATCAGTATTAAGCATCTGAGGGTGCAGATAACTAACCATCTGAACTGGTCTCTCCACCAGTCATCCTTAGTGAAGCATGCAAACCAGCATCTGCATTTCCTGCATCGGATGAGGAGAGCACATCTTTCTCCTGTCCTGGCCACTTTTTACAGAGGCACAAATGAGATTTAACGAACTTCATCATTGTTTGGTTTGGTGGTAGCAGTGCCTCAGATAGAAGGTCCTTACAGAGAGTGGTAAGGACAGTCGAGAAAATTATAGGAAGCTCGCTTCCTGTTATTCAGGATACTGCTTATAAGCGCTATGTGCTTAGAGCTCAAAACATTGTTAGAGAACCCACACACCGACTTTATGGTCTGTTTCTGTTGCTCCCCTCTGGGAGGAGATTTAAAAGTATTTCTAGCAGGACTACCAGATTCTGTAATAGCTTTGTTCCCTATGCCATCCGTCTGATAAACTCACAAGATTCATTTTTCTCACTATGTACATGTATACATACGAACTAGATTGTGTTGTTTTTCTGTGTCATATAATATATATGGGTAATTTTATATAATTTTGTATTTATTTATCTTGTTTATGTAGTGTAAATTGGAGGTGATGACTATTTGAGAGCTGTATGCAACGAAATTTCATTTTAATGTATGCCAATTAGTGTACATGCAAAGTGACAATAAAGTTATTCTAAGTTCTAAATTCTAAAATATAAATCTAAGTACTATTAGTATTACAGTTTAAAAGTTTTTTTTTATTGAAACATAAATTAAGCTTAGTATAATGTTGTTTGTTTTATATCAATCCATGATATCTGCAATGTTTTCAAAATGCTTCCAACTTCATTGTGGTGATTATGATTGCACTGGTTATTATTGGGATTGACTTATTGGTTTGAATTTAGGACATTTTGGTATCAATATATAGGAAAGAATCAGTGCATCAGAGTGAAGATAGGAAATTCAAATAGTGGCATAAGAATTACAATGAAGTAAAAAACTAAGAGCAAGAATAAGTCAGACAAGAGTGCTGAAAGAATTCTGAGGCATAGACATATAATGCTTTAAACAAAGATATTATCATCCTTGGGAAACAGAAAACAATTAGATGAAATAAAGGCCAGAGAAAACGATATCCTCTGCCTGGACTCAGACTTGGTCTAATGGCTAAGGCTTGTTTGTTAATAACCCAATAATTTTTGATCAATTAACAGCTGCTAATGACTCTATAAAAGAGGGGGAAATCTTGTCTAATATGTAGAAACAGTCATTATCAAGAAAGCTTTGCAGGAAATTTAGGTTTGTGACTTTTATAGCATTCCTTCAGTGGTAGTAGAAGACAGATTCAGACACATCTGCTACAGTGAGACAACCCACCTTAGTGCCTAAGGTGCTATAAAATGTGCAGCTCATGCAGCTTTAATATACTTTTATATGGATAAGCCTAACAGCCTGGTTTGCTACCGAGTAGGAATTCCTGGATGTCCCAATGAAATGTACCATATGTTATATATCTTCTACATAACAAAAACTCCAACAATATGTTCTAAATTGCTAAGATTTGCCACTTTTTCTATAAAAGCAGGTATCAATTTATGGCGAAATACTATTGTTCTTCTGCCAGAAAATTTTTTTGCCTGTTCATAATGTGTTTCACTGTAAATTTTAGATTTTGATCCGAGGGAGGCCACTGTACCTCAGATAGCCGGATGTGAGTCTCTCCTGGTGAAGTGGGGCCATGGGATGCAGGTGGGCCTGCTGATCTCGTACCTTGCTCCCTGCCACATGACAGCGGCCCTGCCCGAGCTTCTCAACGTTATTGCCGGGGTGGCGGTTGATACCCCCAGACTTTTGGTCATGGGGGATTTCAACCTGCCATCTACCGGTGGGGCGTCTGGGATGGCTCGGGAGTTTATGGCTTCCATGACAGCCATGGACCTGACACAATTAATTCATGGCCCCACTCACGTGGGAGGACACACCCTGGACTTGTTTTTTATCTCTGGTCAGTGGCGGAGTGGTCTGGATATAGGGGATATAGTTATTGAACCCCTGTCATGCTCGGACCATTCTCTCCTGAGACTGGACCTTTCGACCGCTGCACCCCACTGCAGGGAGGCGGAACTGACCAGGTGGTTCCGCCCCAGGTGCCTGATGGATCCTGATAGGTTCCAGAGGGAGCTTGGGCCAGTTCCTGAAACTCTGGCACATGACTCGGCTGAAGATCTGGTGGCTGCCTGGGATAGGACAGCCGCCGGTGCTCTGGACCGAGTCGTGCCTTTGCAGCCTCTGACCCGACGCCGAACCTGCCCGGCCCCTTGGTTTTCCGAGGAGCTGAGGGGGATGAAGCGCCGGAAAAGACGCCTAGAGAGTGGTTGGAGGGCGATTCGCTCCGAATCCGACCGAACACTAGTTAGGTCTCATATTAAGACCTATCTAGTGGCGATAAAAGCGGCAAAGCGTAACCACTTTTCCGCTCTTATTGCATCGGCAGATAACCGCCCAGCCGCCTTGTTTAGGGTGACCCGCTCCCTTCTATATCAGGGAGCGCGGGAACACCCCTTGCAAGGGCAGGCTGAGGATTTTGCACAGTATCTGCACGATAAAATCGCTCAGATTCGGGAAGGCCTGGACTCTGACTGGGTAGATCCCGGCGGGGTGACTGAGGCTGGTCTTGAGAATGTTACCTGGGATGAGTTCGACCCTGTGACTCCTGAGGACGTGGACAGGATCCTGGGGAGGTTAAATGCAACCACATGTTTATTGGACCCGTGCCCCTCCTGGCTGGTATTGGCCACCCGGGAGGTAACACGAGGCTGGCTCCAGAGGATCATAAATGCTTCTCTGACAGAGGGTTTCTTGCCTCCCGCCTTGAAAGAGGCGGTGGTGAGGCCCCTCCTCAAGAAGCCTTCTCTGGACCCAGCCGTTTTGGCAAACTATCGTTCGGTCTCCAACCTTCGCTTTGTTGCGAAGGTTGTGGAGAGTGTGGTTGCGCGACAGCTCCCACAGTTCCTGGATGAAACCGTCTATCTAGATCCGTGCCAATCCGGCTTCAGGCCTGGGTAAAGCACGGAGACGGCATTGGTCGCATTGGTGGATGATCTCTGGAGGGCTCGGGACAGGGGTTGTTCCTCTGTTCTGGTCCTGTTAGACCTCTCAGCGGCTTTTGATACCATCGACCATGGTATCATGCTGCGCCGGCTGGAGGGACTGGGGGTGGGAGGCACCGTGTTGCGGTGGTTCTCCTCCTATCTCTCTGACCGGTCGCAGTCTGTGTTGGCAGGGGGGCAGAGGTCGACCTCGAGGCGCCTTGCTTGCGGGGTGCCGCAAGGGTCGGTCCTCTCGCTGCTCCTGTTCAACATTTATGTGAAGCCGCTGGGTGAGATCATCCGTGGTTTTGGGGTGCGATGCCATCTGTACGCTGATGACACTCAGCTGTACATTTCCACCCCAGACCACCCCAATGATGCCCTCGAAGTGATGTCCCAGTGTCTGGAGGCTGTGCGGGTCTGGATGGGGAGGAACAGGCTTTGGCTCAACCCTTCCAAGACCGAGTGGCTGTGGATGCCGGCGTCCTGGTATAGCCAGCTGGTGCCATCGCTGGCTATTGGGGGCGAGTCACTGACCCCCACAGAGGGGGCTCGCAACTTGGGCGTCCTCCTGGACACACGGCTGTCTTTAGAAGAGCATATGACGGCCGTGGCCAGGGGGGCTTTTTATCACGTTCGCCTGATATGCCAGTTGCGCCCCTTTCTGGATCGGGACTCCTTGTGCACAGTCACTCATGCCTTGGTTACGTCACGCCTGGACTACTGTAACGCTCTCTACATGGGGCTCCCCCTGAGGAGCACCTGGAGGCTCCAGCTGGTGCAGAATGCGGCCGCGCGGGTGATTATGGGAGCGACGTGGCGCTCCCACGTAACACCTCTCCTGCGCGAGCTGCATTGGCTCCCGGTGGTCTTCCGGGTGCGCTTTAAGGTGTTGGTTCTCATCTTTAAAGCGCTCCATGGCTTAGGGCCAGGGTATTTGCGAGACCGCCTGCTGCTACCGATAACCTCCCACCGGCCAATACGCTCTCACAGAGAGGGCCTCCTCGGGGTGCCGTTGGTCAGGCAATGGTCGGCTGGCGGCCCCCAGGGGGCGAGCCTTCTCTGTGGGGGCACCCGCCCTGTGGAATGAGCTGCCTCCTGGAATACGATTGATCCCGGACCTCCGGACCTTCCGTAAAGCCCTGAAGACGTTTTTATTTCATCAAGCCGGCCTAGCCTAAATGGTTTTTTAATTGGGATTTTAAATTTTATGGATTTGGGGTTTTAAATTTGGGTAGCCAATGATTTAATTCTTTTAATTATCTTAACTTTTGCATTTGTATGTTTTTTAATTTTGGCTGTTCACCGCCCTGAGTCCCTCCTGGGAGAAGGGCGGTATACAAATTAAATTAAAAAAAAAAATTATGATTGTCATTTAGTTACCCTCTTGTATGTTAGTTTGTGTAATGGTATGTGGTAGAAAAAACCTTAGGGAACAAGGTGAAGAGATTCTGCCTAGGACATGGCCAGGTAAGAAGCAGAATAATCTGTAGCTGGATAATGTGTGGCAAGTGATTGGGTTGTAAGGGAGACAGACAGCAGGAAAATTATGCTTTCAGACTTGCAAGATTTTACAATAAAGTAGACTTAGTGTATCTGATTGTATTTCCTGTCTGGTCTATAGAGTAAGGCTGATAGCATTTGACTGAATTAAAGTTTAATCTGTTGCCATAGGTGACTAGATGGAGATCATCGAAGTCCACCTCTTATTAATGTGTAGCAGTCATAAAAAAGAGGCAGAAGTTTTATGTCATTTGTCATTTTGACTTTGTCATTTTCAGTCTGTCTGTCTGATATTCTGACAGATATCAATCATTCTTTTTGTTTAAACTTATCATAAGTGCATCATTACTGTTCCAGCGATCCCTGCCTTTTATTAATGATAAATGATTGTCTGTTGGCATATTTTCAAATATATTTTCTGACCCATGAGAATTAGCTATTTGTTTTTTTAAGAGCCCAGATCACACCTTTGATAACTGATACTTCATAAGTTTTTTGTAAGCAGAGCTTTAAAAACTGAACAGCTCTGAGTTCATGTAATATTTTTAGTAAGTGTGTAGATTACTAACTGTTCTATTT